AGATATAATTTGGTGGTGGTGGTAGGTGCCATCGACTTGGTTTCAACTCCTAGTGACTCCGTTTATAACAGAACAAAGCATTGGCCAGCCCTGCATCATCAATAATTGCTATACTTGAGCCCAGCATTGCAGCCACTGTGTCCATCTATCTCTGGGTCTTCACTGTTGTCACTGACCATCTGCTTTCCAAGCATAATGTCCTTCTCCAACATGGCCAAAGTGTGTGAGATGAAGTCTGGCCATTCTCGTTTCAAATAGGTAAAATAGATAAACTTTGGTATATCCACACAGTAGAACATTATTTATCAATAAAAATGAGTGAAGGACTGATGCATGCTACAACATGGATGGATTCTGAAATATTATGCTCAGTGAAAGAAGCTAGTCACAAAGCATATTGAATGATTCCATTCGTATGAAACGTCCAGAAGAGGCAAAGCAAGAGAGACAGAAAATAGATTAATTGTGGCCTAGAGCTGAGGTATAGGGGACAAATGGAGTATGAGGTTCCTTTTTGGATGATGAAATGGTATAAAATGGATTGTGGTAATTGTCGCACAATTCTGTTTATATACTAAAAACTATAGGAATATATCATCCAAGAGACAAATGAACAGAAAGAGGAAAACAATTTCACTCTGTCAGGGCCATGATCGATTGACCCCTTACTAGAGTCCTGTGTCTAGTTTTAATCCCCATAGTTTAATAAGGATGTAGAAAAATTGAAGAGGTTCTGAGAAGTCCATCATAGTGGTGCTAAATTATTACACATCAAAATTTATGAGAGAACATGAAGGATGTAAATATAATTTAATAAAAAATTAGGGATTAAGAAAAAGCTGGGCATGTGGCTATGGAAGAATTAAATGTTGTCTAATGTATGAAATCTTATCACAAGAGGAAATTAAGTCTTTACCATATTAATATGGGATATAATTAAAATAAATTCATAAAGTTGAATAAATTGAAGTCAGATGATTTTACATTAGATATTATTCTCATAATAAGAGTAATTATTTACAGGAAGACATTAACAAGAGAGCTTTAACAATCTAGAGCCTTTTAAGGATAAGGAGTACCTTAGTTATCTGCACCCACCCACTGCCATCCAGTCGATTTTGATTCATAGCGACCCTACATGACAGAGTAGAACTGCCCAGGGGGTTTCCAAGTCAGTCTGTAAATCTTTACAGAAATAGACTGCCTCATCTGCCTCTCACAGAGTGGCTGGGTTCAAACCAGTGACATTTTGGTTAGCAACTGAATGCTTTTAACCACTATGTCACCGGCTATAACAGAAATACCAAAAGTGAGTAATTTGAACAAACAGAGATTAACTTTGTCACAGTTTAGGAGGCTGTTGTTAGGTGCTGTAAAGTCGGTTTTGACTCTAGTAACCCTATGTCCAACAGAAGGAAACATTCCTGGTCTGGGGCCATCCTCAGAATCGTTGCTAAGCTTGAGCCCATCATTGCAGCCCCTATGTCAGTCCACCTTTTTCACGTTTTACTCTTTTTCACTGACCCTCTACTTTACCAGGTATAATATCCTTCTGACAACATGACCAAAGTACAAGAGAGGAAGTCTGGCCTTTCTCACCTATAAGGAGAATTCTGGCTGTACTTCTTCTAAGACATATTTGTTCCTTTTTCCAGAAGTCCATGGTGCATTCAGTGTTCTTCACCAATACCATAATACATGTGTAAATTCTTCAATCTTCTTTATTCATTTCCCAGCTCTCACATACACATGAGGCTATTGAAAATACTGTCTTGAGTTAGGTGCACCTTAGTCTTCCAAGTGACGTCTTTCCTCTTAAACACTTTAAAGAGGTCTTTTGTAGCAGATTGCCCAAATGGGATATGTCATTTGATTTCTAGAAGTCCAAATTCAGAACCTTCGCCCTAGCGGAAGATTTTCTCTCTGTTGGCTCTGGAGGAGTGTTCTTGTCTTTCCAGCTTCTGCTTCCTTGTGACTTGGAGATCTCCATGTGTCTTGGAATCTATCTTACCCTATCTCTGCTCCACTCTTACATTTCTGTATATGAAAATATCAGTATAGAAAAGAACACATATAAAATGATCACAACTGTGGAAACTTTCTAACAAAAAGAATGTAATGAAATATACCAAAAGTTTAACACTTTTTTACTTTAATTTGAAGTCTAGTATTATCTTTCTTTGTGTGTGTGTGTGTATTTCCCATTCCCCAGAGCTCCTAATAAACAAATAGAAATTTAAAATATTTGTACCAAAACCAAAAACCAATTTCACTGCCATCAAGTCAGTTCTGACACACACTGACCCTAGAGGATAGAGTAGAACTGCACCATAGGGTTTCCAAGGCTGTAAATCTTTATGGAAGCAGACTGCCTCATCTCATGGAGTGGCTGGTGGGTTCTAACCACAGCACTTTGTTAGCAGCCAAGCACTTTAACCACTGTGCCACTAGGGCTCCTAAAATACATATAAAACCAAAATAACAAACCAAACTCACTGCCGTTGAGTCAGATCCAACTCATAGCAACCCCTCCTTGAGTTTCCGAGGCTGTATCACTATGGAAGTAGATTGCAAAATACCTATTTGATACATATGTGTTGTTGTTATGTACCGTCGAATTGGACCCAACTCATAGTGACCCCTCCTTGGGTTTCCAAGGCAGTATCACTACGGAAGTAGATTGCAAAATACCTATTTGATACATATGTGTTGTTGTTATGTACCGTCGAATTGGACCCAACTCATAGTGACCCCTCCTTGGGTTTCCAAGGCAGTATCACTACGGAAGTAGATTGCCCCATCTTCCTTCCGAGGAGTGCCTGGTGGATTTGAACCGCCTGCCTTCTGGTTAGCAGTCAAGTGCCTTAGGCACTATGCTACCAGAGCTCCCTGGATACACATAGTCTTTCTTAATTTAAGTGTTTGGGTCATCTCCAGGTGCTGTCACATTTTCCCACAGGTAAGAATTATCTGAACCAGGAGCCAAAAGGTTAAGTTAATCCCTCCACTTCATTAGATTATTATTATTTTTTAAGTTTATTAGTTCTATATGATAATGCTATTTTAAGTTATTTTGGATTTCTTATTTTTCTCCAAATATCTCCTTTACGTTATATTTGTCCAAATAAGATATAACTTTAGTGAGAATTCCTCATCTTTTATTAGGTGATTATATTATAGATGTCTTATAATAGTGCACTTTTCATGAAGCATGCATTGTACCACCCAGATTTCTTCCATCTAAAGCATACATAAAGATAGAAAAGAAATGGACCATCTTCAGAGTGTTTTTGTTTAATTATGTTTTATAATGCCTTTGACTCTTCTCTGTTGTTCTGAAAGCTATTATAATTTAGCAAGCATTGACTGAGTGACTACCCTGAGCAAGGTTCTTCTAAGAATTTCAAAATCTTTATATTCCAGCATAACAGATAAATAAAAAGAATGTTTTTCAAAGTAGCCTAAGTTAATAATTCAGAGTTCTCAGTATTGGATGCACAAGTAAGCAAGTCAGCTGTGAAGGAAACACACATCAACATGTGACCTCTGGCTTCCCCTAGTCCTACCTGAGTCTTTGGTAACTTTCTTCACAAGTTGATTATTGTCAATCTATTTGACTTTTCAATATGCATTTTAAGTTTCTTATGATATTAACAATTATGTAATAATACTCACTTAAGATACCTTCCTTTCTCTAGAGAAGTAGTTCCCATGTAATTAAAATTTCTGTGTTTTACCACCATATTTCTGGAATAGGACCTTTGCACGTATTTAAAGTTCTCTGCATTATTCTGATAATTCAGGCATAGAAACTATTACCTTAAACAGTTTTACTCATCTGCCTGTTCTATAACCAGTTACCATCAAGTTAATTCCAAATCATGGTGACCCTATGTGTTTCAGAGCAGAACTGTGCTCCATAAGATTTTCAGTGGCTGATGTTTTTAGAAGTAGATCACCAGGTATCTTTTTTCCAAGATACCCACCAGCACTCCTCAGAAGGAAGACTGAGCAATCTACTTCCATAGAGATACCACCTCAGAAACCCAAGGAAGGGTCACTATGAGTCTAAATGACTCAGTGACATTGAGTTTGGATTTTTGGATTACCTCTGATGTTCTCAAACCTCCCACCTTTCAGTAAGCAGCCACGTAATTAACCATTTGCATCACCTGTTGTTGTTGTTGTTGTGTGCCGTCGAGTTGGCCCCGACTCATAGCGACCCCTCCTTGGGTTTCCGAGGCAGTATCACTACGGAAGTAGGATTGCCCAATCTTCCTTCCGAGGAGTGGCTGGTGGGTTTGAACCGCCAGCCTTCTGGTTAGCAGTCAAGTGCTTTAGCCACTATGCTACCAGAGCTCCTTGCGATTCCAAATACCTAGTTGCCTTTTCCATAGGGCAGTGGCTTTCAACTCTTGTCTATACACTCAGTGGAGAGCTTTTAAAAAATGCAAATCCCTTGTTCCCCTCCCCAAGGAAAATTACAACACAATACTTAAGGGAGGGGACTACAACTGGCATTTTTAAAAAAAGGATTATAGGTGATTTCTTATGTAGAGCAAGATTTGATAAACATTGCACTAAGCTGTGAAGGAGCTCTGGTAGCATAATGCTTAAGGCACTTGACTGCTAACCAGAAGGCTAGAGGTTCAAACCCACCAGCCACTCCTCGGAAGGAAAGTTGGGCAACCTACTTCTGTAATGATACTGCCTCAGAAACCCAAGGAGGGGTCACTATGAGTCGAGTCTGAATCGAGGGCACACAACAAACAACAACAACAAACTGTGAAGACCTTGTGACGAGAGACTCTGCACTGTTATGTTTTTTATTTACATCTCTAATATAGTGCCCAACACATATTAGATGTTCTCTGCAGGTTTGTGTATGAATGACAGATTAGACATTTCTTTTTGTATTTGTCCATCCCTACACCTTGAGTAATATTAAGTTTGGTATAGTTCCAAATTTAGTCATGTTGGTCTTCATTTTCTTAGCACAGGTGCAGCAGTGAACAGCAGTGAGAGTCTCCCTCCATCTTCGTCCGTCAATGACATCTCCTCCATGTCCACCGACCAGACCCTGGCATCTGACACTGACAGCAGCCTGGAAGCCTCGGCAGGACCCCTGGGTTGTTGCAGGTGACTAGCCGCCTGCCTGCGAAACCCAGCGTTCTTCAGGAGATGATGCGATGGAACACACACACGCATGCAAACACGCACGCACACACACAAATGTAGACACACGATGACAGGAAAATGGCAAGGGAGAGAATCAAAGCCTAAAATCAAAACAAATCTTTCAGCCTGCTTCTTCTCCAGAGTTCTGTATCGCAGCTAAGCTCAAACATATATTTAACTTCTAGTTGCTCTTGCTTTGGTCTTTTTCCAATGATGCTTACTACAGAAAGCAAATCAAACATGATTAGAGAAGCCTTTTTCATAAAGTGTAAATTTAATGGCTGAAAAACCAGCAATCTGTAACTGCCCTTTCAAATGGCATGACAAGGTGTGCAGTGGCCCCATCCAGCATGTGTGTTTCTCTATCTGGCATCTACCTGCTCCTTTTGGCCTAGTCAGATGGATATAGATACAGATTCGCATGTGTCTGTATTCATACAGCACTACTTCCTTAGAGATGCTACTGTCAGTGTCCTCAGGGCTGTACCAAGACACCACGCACTGGGGTACCACATGGTCCATTTCATGTGATCTATTACTCTGACATAAACTCATCTGTAATATATTGCCAGTATATAAGCTGTTTGTTAATCAATTAAGCTGTATGTCTTATAAGAAAACATGTAAAGGGGGAAACTATGGGGAGAGTGAGCTCTCTCAGACCCTTGAAGATGTAGCTTCCAAATTTGAACTGATTAAATGGCACCTGTATACCAATTTGTAGAAAGAACATATGTGATGCTTATGGACAGTGGGTGGGGGGAGGGGAAGATTATAGTTTTCAGGTATGAAATGGTTTGGCCTTTAGAAGGAAAGTGTGACTAAAAGCTGAGGGTCTTTTCTCTGACAGTGAACAGGTAGGGAAAACTAGACAGTAGTGTTACAATGTTGATTAAGACCTAAAAGAGGTTATTGCCCAGATATTAGAAGACACCGACATCCGTATTTTAGAATAGACATAGTTTGTCATTTCCAAATTACATGTCACAATAGGAGGCTACTGGAGAGGGTGGCAGGTGGTAAAGCAGGGTTATATATATTTAGTGACAAGAATCCCTCCTGGAAAAGAGCAGAATCACCTCCTTATGATTTCCTTAATAGAAAATACGCCTATTTCAGATTGTGGATTGTGTTTTTCATGAGTGTGTTGCTTCTAAGGGTCTGTCCTACCAAGATTCTATTTTGAAAGGAAATCTTATTTTCCTCTTCTGGAATAAAAATGAACAAATCAATTAAAATAAAGTCCCAAGAAGCACAAGGTGATCCTCAGGTTCGCATTTGCAAACATCTCCACAGACATTTTTCTCTTATCAGTGGTTTGCCCGACTCATTAATATGGCTGATGTTTCATATTTATTCATTTACGTTCATAAGTTTGACCAATCCAAAAAGGGCTGATAATCTGAGTTTTGTAACAGCAGTAAATGCGACAGCAATAACTCTGCCAGTAAGTTACTGCTACTAAATAGCTTTAGCAATATGAATTTGTCTTAAAAGCCATGAAGCATTAATGTCCCAAATCACCTGAATTTATCTCAACTCAAAAGAAAGTGCTTTCCCAAGCACTTACAGAGTACTGTGAAACATCTCAATTATATACAAGGCAATACCAGGGTGACTTCACAGCAATAATAGGTACTAGCTACAGGCTTCCCTTTTTACTCACTCTGCTGAAGTATCCATCACAGTCATTTGAACTATGACTGTTTTGGTGCTCACCAATATTGTGTTATTTTACTGGAAGATGAGAAATGTATGAAATGGATGGTTGATGAGTGTGATAGGACTGACAAGTGGAATCCCATCAAGAAATAGAGCAAACAGAAATGCTCTGAAAACTGCCTTAAATACCATAGGGAAACTGTCTCTCTTTTCAAGCAATAGAACTAATTGGGAACTACACCCCCCACACACCATGTGAGGATACTGCCACTTAGGAGATTGATTGATTAAAAGGGGTAATTGGTTTAAGGTGGAGAGAAAAACATTCATTAGACTCTGAAGCTTGTCCCCTGTATTAAAAGTGGTTCAGTTTCTTTAGCTAGCTACCAATTCTTTTTGGTTAATATTCTAGGCAGCCTGATTTTTAAAACACCCCATTATTCACAGGCAACTCTCTCACTTTTCTTTCTGTCACATTGCCTATTTCTTTTCTCTCTTTCATTTTTTTCCTCCAACTTTGCTGCCTCCGCTATTCTTTGCATCAGCTCATTTTTTCAATTATCTTCTCCACTCTCCTGCTCTCTACCACGAGGGATTAAGTGCAGAGAGCAGGCAACTGTTAGAAAGTGAGTCTCAATGGGAATTTCATCAGCCTCAAGATGACATCAAAAGACAGTCAGAAATCTCTAGCCAGCATCTGAGATGTGCTTGACCATTAGACTTTCTCTCATGTCTTCAGAAGTGTGACTTTCTTTCACTCAGATTAAACGGGGCAAGAACAAGACACCCCTCCCCTGTGATTACTACATTCCTTGAGCTCTACTAATCTTATCCATCATGTTGTCTGGCTCTGGGGAACTGGTTACCTTTAGCTCCATCTCCTTTATGGACAAGAAAAAATGGAACAAATCACTCAGGTTAAAGTGTCACCTAGAAATAGAGCTAAGGGTTTGAACTCTTGACTGCTTGTAGCATTAATTTTGATTAGTTATCAAACAAGACAGGTGATGGGACAACAAACAAAAAGAATCACCACTTCAAAAGCTTACCAGTCCTTCATGATCTTATGTTCACTTTGTTATAATATCTTTGGGAGATGATAATTATTATAGAATTCACAGAATATATTTTGTTCTGCACTGAGTCTTCTTTTCTTAAGAAAACCAGTATTTCCTATGTAGTCACCTTTACAGGCAAAGAAATCTTATCTCTGAGGCAGGAAATGTTAAGTCACCTGGACAATATTCCTAGAAAACGTGAGGGTTGTGCCTGTAGTTGAAGTTCAGTGTAAAGTGCAAACTTGGCACTCTAAAAAAAACCTAACCTTTCCTCAGTTCCTATAGGAATATTGGTTTAGCACTGGCCCCTAATGAAATGTTTATAGCATTTTGTGGGAGGGATTGCTATGTGCTCACATGCAGGAGGAATTCAATTATTGTGAAAAATTGATGAAATCACCACCACTTTAGCCAAGTCTTTGCTATTTTTATTAACAAGGGATAAATTGGCCCTTCTTAAAGAGATATCTGGTGACACAATGCCTAAGGCACTTGACTGCTAATCAGAAGGCTGGTGGTTCATATCCACCAGCCACTCCTAGGAAGGAAGACTAAGCAATCTATTTCCGTAGAGATACCATCTTGGGAACCCAAGGAGGGGTCGCTATGAGTCACAATTGACTTGAAGGCAGTGAGTTTGGGTTTTTTTTTTTTTTTTATGTTCTCATGAAGATGGGTTTTTTTTTTTTTTTTGTAAAGGGTGCATACCAGGTACCACAAAAGTTTACCAAATGTTTTAGCACTTTTGACCAAATTTGTAGGAAGGAGAAGAAGGGAGTTCTGGAAACTACCTTGTAGTTTAAAATTCCTTCTTATGAAA